TCCCGGTGGGGTGTGCCGCGCCGCGGGACCTTTACTTGCGAAACAGTCGCCCTGGGCCTTGCATTGTGCACATCGCGTTCACGCATCACGAAGGCGAGGGCGGGTGCTACCAAGTGAGCAGCAGCAATAAAGAGAGGGAGGAGGACGAAGAGGTGGTTGGCTCTGATGGTGTGTTGCGCTTGCTGGTCACGTTTCGCCCTCGAAGACCCGGCTTGCACAGGGCAACGTTGCACGTCCGTGTGAGCAGACCCCACCGAGGGGGGCACAAGGATGCTGTGCATGACGTAGAGCTGGTGGGACTTGCGATAGTCCCGGAGGGGCTTAATGGGCGGACCGCCTACGCGAGAGTAGGGGGAGAGGCTTCGAGAGCTTATACGGGACACAACAGAGAGCAGCCTGAGGGCCTGGAAAAACTTAGTGGGATTGGCAGAAAAAGTCATGATGTTAAGAACTTCTTGGCTGAAAGCGAAAGAGAAAAAGGCAGAGGGGGAGGGATGAAGCCTCCGTCATCCGTGGGAGGCGGTAAAATAGGTGCGAGGGACGAATCGGACCCCTGCATGTCCTTGAGCCATCCCCCATCAACTATCCCTCATTTCCTGCAGTCACACGTGGCCTTCGCACAGGGACTATTGTCCTTTGGGAATCATCCAGTCGGCAGCGTCTCGGTCGAAAGAGTCCGCTTGTGTAATCCATCTACTGTGCCACAACTTGTTGTCTTGGAACGTGCCTCCCTCCCCTTTGTTTTGACCCACCGCGTCATCAAACTCAGGCCACGGGCCTATGTACAGCTTCCCATCCGATTTATTCCTGTGCAGCAAGGTGAATATGAGTGTACGCTGAGGGCATCCGTACATCCGGTGATCGAAGACGAGGAGGTAATTTCAGTGGATTCCAAAGTGCTCAGCAGCGGTGATTTTAGATTGAGTTGTCGTCGAGGGAAGAGTATTGCCTTGGAACTGCGCGGGCAAGGAGAAAAAACGTAAATTTTATCGTATTTGGTATTGTATAAATCAACATGCGTCGCTGTTCATGCTTTTGGCAAGTCATACATTCGAGCTTATATGGTTGACCTTGAGACATTTTTCTTGTTGCGTGGCTTTGCCGCTGGCCCTGCCGGCTTCTTTTTATTGACTATTAACTAAGTATGTCAGCATATGTATCAGCTCCCTCCGATCAAAAAAATTAAATGGCATGAGTGGGAGTCGGAGATGACTGGGCCGTGTTCGCATGCACGAAATGCAACGTCGCAGCGCGAGCGGGGTGACGGTCCTTGCGATGCAGACTCTCCTTCCTCACACCAATGGAAAGCATCACAAATTCTGTTAACGTTTATGAACCGGACAATCCACGAGGGTGCATGAGCAAAAATGGGGCGGCGAGGGGAGGGCAACATCGCGCGCAGGGCGGCGGCAAACCTACCCGGATGTACGCGCCTGAGGCCACCATCTCCGCCGACGGCGCCCATGGCCCTCTCCCGCCCGTCTCCGGACGAAGAAGCCAAAATATCTCCCTTCGAAAAGCCCTACTACCTCCTCCCTCGAGTACACCCTTGTGAAAGGCCGGTTTGTTGCTTGAATGAGTCGCTCACCATCTGCATCTCTTTGACTTTTAACTCACCCCACATTGCGGTTTCTCATGCTGCAGGAGCGGGATGCCCCTCGAAGTTCGTTACCGGGGTCACGGGCCTTCACTACCACGCCACGACTACCAGGAACTCCAGCAGCAGGACCATATGCAGGCCGGTCGCGTTCACGGCCACCCGAGCATTTTCGCAAATCCTTCTTGCACTGATGAGCATTCCTCTTCACAGGGTCAAAACACTTTGAGGGACAAGCCGCAGCATCGAACGGTGTCCCACCAAAAATCTGTTCAGTGCATCGTGAGAGACGTCAGAAGCGCGACGTCCCATGCAATCTCGCGTTTAAATGACGGTTCGGACGCCAATTTGTCGCCTCATTCTCACACTGCTAGCTCTAGTGATGGTATAGCTTGCGGTGGAAACGGCGTCTCGGGAGAGAATCGACAAGCCTCTCTCCCAGCAGTATTAGTAGACAAATACGATCACCACGATCCTCCTCAGTTTACCGGGCAGCCGTCACAATTCACGTCGTCTCAGTCCCACGCTTCAGATGAAGACTTTCGAGCTCGATCACCCTGCTCCTCTCAACCCGCTTACGCTACGAGCGAGATGGCGGTCTCATCTTACGAAGGCAAGGCTTTGGGGAAAGAGAGCTGCCTCCTCGCGTCCACTTTGCCATCTAATGCTCCTTCGAGCAAGCTTCCGGCAATTCACTGCCCGAGTATAGCCAGTCGGGACGGTGAGGAGGGCCACAGGGATTCTTGTCGAGCCACGGCCCACGCGCGAGGAAGCCATCACCGGCCGCCGCACGAGGAGGGAGGCACGCCTCCGCCACCCTGCAGTGATGGGGGGCCCATGGCTGCGAGGAAGTTTAGGCCTGAGTCGCGACTGCCGCCCTCCCTCGCGGTCCAAGGCCGGGAAGCCGGGTGGCTGAGAGACCAGGCCCCCGCCATGCCGCGCCCTCCCCGTCAGACAGGGACCCCGCCTGGCCCCGGCCTCTCCCAGCAGCAAGCGCTGTATGAGCCAGAAGAGCACCGACATGACAGATCCCAGCGCCAGCAGCATCCGATCCTAGAACAGAAAAAGCGGTTGACGTCGCAGCGGCCGCCCGATTTGAGTCCTCATTTCACGTTTGCCTGCCCTTCGCCTTGCCCCACTACATCTTCCAGCTCCCTCTCGTCGTCTGCGTCGGTGCATTCCCCCACAACCCCCCTGGAGACCTCAGACCAAGCGGCGGCCCCTATAGCGGAGCCGGGGGGGAACTGGGGAGGGTGCTATCAGGGGAAAGGAGGGCATCGGACGAAGAAGGAGACGGAGGACGACTACCTCCGAGCGAACAGCCGGATAATGGCGAACGGCGTGTTTTCCTGCCTGCATTGTGACAAGACATTCACTCTCAAGGGGAATCTGAAACGGCACCTCTTCACCCACGATGGAGTCAAGCCCTTTGCCTGCGGTGTCTGCAACAAGACTTTCTCGCGCAAGGCGGACCTGGAAATCCACGTGCGGGTCCACACGGGGGAGAAGCCTTACGCCTGTGAGTGGCCCGAATGTGGCCGTCAATTTGCTCGAATCTCTGATTTGCGGAGTCACGAGCGCACGCACAGCGGATTGAAGAGTTTCGTCTGCCCCTTTCCGGAGTGTGGGCGCCAGTTCGCCCGAAAGTATGACTTGAAAAAGCACGTGGGGGTGCATCAAAGACACAAGCAGGCTTCGGGCGGACTTGACACGGGAAGAATTGGCGGTGCAGGCGCAAGCGAGTCTGTGGAACGGGCCGACCTGGGAGAAACCGGGGGGAGGGGTGCAGGCGGGGAAGGACAAGTGTGTGCTCGCCGCGGTGGCCCGAAGCAGGTTGGTAACAACAGCGAGCTTGTGGTTGGTAAGAAGAGCGAGCTTGTCGCGCCCTTACAATATTCTGGCGTGCCTATGAGGGCGCGTGGCTCTCAGGGGTCCAGAAAGCGTGGCCGAGAGGTGGTACGCACTCGGGATCAGGGGGAAAGAGCGGGCGCGGGAGAGGATGCAATAACGGCGACGACCAGGAGGGGACCGGCGTCTGGAGGCCCAGAAGCCCTTGTGGGAGATGTTGTCTTTGATCAGACTTTGTCGAGCGATGGTAGTCTTTCAAAGTGGCGGGGGGGGGATGAGCGCGCGGACGAGCACATGTCGTTTCAGGAGATGCAGCAAGTGCTGCGGAAGCATAACCACAACCATCAGCGGGGCATGGTGGATCCGCGCGAGGGCATCCACCTTGGCCCTCTCAGCGCGAACTGCCAGCATGCCTCCACTTCCTCCCTCACAAATATGGCAGCTCAGCGGATGCAGGCGATGCGCTTTGGCTCCACTGCTTGCGGGGGGGAGGAGGAGCAGGTTGTAGGAAAGCACCTGTCGGTCGCGCGAGACTCAGCAGCAAACGCGCTCGTGACTGGACAAACTAAGAACAAGTGCAGGGAAGGGGACGGGGATGGCGTCCGGGGGGGGGAGGATGCCCACGCAACCCAAGCTCTTCACGCGCGTGCTCCACGGACAGCACGTCGACTTCCTCTCCCCCGACCGCGTCCTGGAGTGCCGAGAAGGCCACAAGCACCCCGTCGAGCCTCCTGTCCCACCACTCGCCCCCCCCCGCGCCCGCCCCCGTTCCTCCCTCGCCCTCCACCTCGGAGAAGGGAAAATTGACGGAGAAGGAAGTGGGGGAAGCCCAGAAGAAGTGTCCCGGGGAGCACGCGACTCAGGCCTGTGCCTGTGTTCAAGTCTACTACGACGGGATTCCGCATTATATCGTGGATGGAAAGCTGCAGCGGAGGGACGAACGGGGTGATCTTCTGGATCTGGGGGACTTCCGGGTATTGGATGATGATTTTGAGACCTTCTTCTCTTCAAGTACGTATGTGCATGGGACTGCGAATGTAGTAGTACTAGTCTATGGAGAAGATGGCAAGCTGGGCTTAGTCTGACATGAACCTTTCAAAGGACACTCATAATCATTACAATAATGCACGTATCAACCATACTGCGAGCTTTTCTCCTCCCTTGACTTGTAATCACCCTCCTCTCCCCCACACAGTGGAGACCCTTCTTCAGGAACAAGGGCGGACGAACTAGGCGTGCTTGGACGAGGATTGGCGGGGATGAAAGTCAACGACTTACCAAACGGGTATGATCGCGATCTATCAGTAGATTGCGAACTCATGGGGAAACTGAACGCGGGCAACGGTAGAGCGGACGACTCGAGCGAGGCCTGGGAGAGAAATGCTTGGGTGTCGGTTGGAGGCTGAAGTCGATGAAAGTGAAATGGAGAACAGTAGTAGACGAGATGATGTAACTTAACACGACCCGAGAAGTTGACTAACTGTACGACTGTGAGAACATGCCTAGCAACGAACAAAGTGAAGAGATCTTCTACCAGATCCATGTGGTTAAGAGCATCTGCGTGCGTGCATCCTCCAGTCCTCGGGATTGCTTTCGATCGGTGTCGTTCCACGCATGCTGGGTTCGTGCTTGCGGAACGTACAGTTAATTACAACACAGGTTTCAGCACTCCCTGACGTCTATTTACAATCGCTGAAGAGGGGCTCTGACCTCTGAGGGCAAATGTGTCTCGTCCCCCGTCAGGATGGCCTGAGCCAAGCATTCCCCCAAGAAACCATGGTGGACCACCCCCCTCCCTCCCAGGCCTGTGAACAGCCAGGTTTCCGCCTTGATACCCTCCGCTACTTTTGTCTGTTCGAGCCGACCGACGATAGGAAGCTTCCCCAAATTGCTCCGGCGTGTGGCCACCCGGGTGCCGGAGGTGACGCGGTAAGCCTCCGGCCCCTGTCGGAGCGGGGGATAGATCGACTCCGCCTTCCTCCGCAAAGAGGCGATTTCCCCGTCATTCTTTTCACTTTGGAACCATTCCTCTGTCCTCCTTCCCCCCATCTTTCCAACTCCAATCCCGTCTTGCACGTGCCAGGAGTCTCTCAAGTACTCTCTGGTAGAACCGCATCGAAGCACTCGGCGCTCTTTCCCCTCCGCGTCTGAGCACATTTCCGTGTCCACACCCGGTACCACGTATTCACCGCACAGTAAGGCGCACTGCAGGGACGGAGCACTTTCCTGCTCCGAAGGCTCCACGCCACCCTTTGATTCATCTGCCACTAGAAGCGTTCGTCCTCTCACAAATTCCACAGGCAAATGCTCGAGTTCTGGGAAAGCTCGAATCCCGGCACCAGAAGCCAGGACCACAACATCGTACTTCGCGCCAGATTGCTTCACACAGTCAGCCGTAAATAAAGATGACTCCCACGTCAGAGCGGTGGAACTCCGTTCAGCACGTGCCTGACTCGATAGCCACAGGCCTCGAAGGTAGTCAGGCATAGACAGTATGGCGCTTTGCCGAAGAAGCAAACCATGACCTGGGACACCCACTTTTTGCTCCCACTCCTCCCCATTCAGCCATTTTAACCAATTTGGAAGTCGTTTCGCTGCGGCCTGGAAATCAATCACGTGCTGTGAGGTCAAAGCCGGACGTAGGATAGCGCCTGGTGCCGACTGCAGCCGGCTTGCTCCTGCTGTGTCGCCATAATTCGACAATGCTGTCTTGCTTGACACGACGAGGCGACTCGTGGCTTCAAACCCTCTTAATCCACACCAAAGTAAGCGGTTTTTAGGAGTGAGAGGGTGCAGCAAGCCCCCTGCGACGGCTGAGGCCTCGGCCTGTCCGGGCGGACGCGGATCGAAGATCGAAACTTGTTTCACCAAGCCTGTCAAATGCCACGCAGTCGATAGACCGGCTAGCCCACCACCCACAACAGCTACTTTTAAATTAGACGGCTCTGGCTTGCTGGAGAGTAATGACTTGGAAAGGCATACTGGAAGTGACCCACGGAGTCCGTGTAGAAGGAGGGAGTGGGCCATGTCCGGCTTAAAGCAATAAAATAGGAAAAGCGTTGCTATCAAGGCCGTCCTAGAAATGAAAGGCATATGATCCTTTCTATCTCCACGTGGGCATCTGTTAGTGTAGATGACTTTTTGGGAACTGGTGCTTCGTGAGTTTATTATTTTGAAGATGGATTCTCAACGGTCAGACACGAGAAGGATACTCCCACGTCCCAGGCGTAATAGGACAGCTCACTTGAGTCTCCCTACTTTGTCCTGATGCTATCGGGGCAAAAGAATTACTTTCTCACGCTCAAATATTTCTTTTTGATAGGATTAGGACTCGCAGTGTGATCTGGCGGTCTTCCTCTTGTGACGCGCTGTTTGAAGGCTTTAAATGCGTTCCATCGGTGCAAAAAGGCTTGGCTCAAGCACCCGCACTCAGGACTTCACCACGTTGTTGGCAGTCTTTTGTGTATTAATGAAGGTCACGACGTGTAGAGCCTGGCATTATTCTGGTAGAATTGCGACAAGTAGGCAGATGCTCTCAGGCATTGGTCCCTTGTTACGCCGCAAATCCTTCATCATACATCCTGCCACGTCAACAAAGTCAAGGCAACACATTTCCATAACCGCAAACGCCGCCGCTGAAGGTAGCCGGGGTAGCGCGGCAGTCGCACAAGATTTAAAGAACAGGTGAAGAGATTACTGAATGAAAAATCATGGTGAAAATAATTGCGCAAGAAAGGACAGGGGAAAGCCTTCGCAGAGTGCGCAGGGCATCATGTTTCCCACAATTAATTGTTTTTGGGCCCTTTTTGATAGCAGGGAGACGCAAAAGGAGAGACAGGGCAAGTTAGATTTAAACCCTCCGCGAGGTACACGAGACTTTTATCCGGAAGACATGCGGACGCGGAGTTGGCTCTTCGAACTCTGGCGGCAGGTAGCCCGTGACCACGCGTTCGAGGAATACGACGCACCGGTCCTTGAATCCGAGGATTTATTTGTCCGCAAGGCTGGAGAGGAAGTCACAGAACAGCTGTACAATTTTGAGGACAAAGGGGGTCGACGCGTGGCTTTGCGGCCTGAAATGACGCCATCGTTGGCAAGGATGGTGATGGCGAAACGCAATGGCTTAGTCATGCCGGTCAAGTGGTTTTCATTTCCGCAATGCTGGCGATACGAACGTATGACCCGTGGCCGTCGCCGCGAGCACTACCAATGGAACATGGACGTATGGGGAGTCTCGGGTGTGGAGGCCGAAGCGGAATTGCTATCTGCGATCACGACATTTTTTAAACGCGTGGGCCTCACAGCAGAAGACGTCGGCATCAAAGTAAGTAGCCGAGGAGTCCTAGCAGAGGTTCTTGCTGCTTTGGATGTCCCAGATGCAAAATTTTCGGCGACATGCGTGCTGGTGGACAAGTTGGAAAAGTTACCGTTAGAGGCGATCCAGGGGGACCTGACAGCGTTAGGTTTGGAGGAGTCCGTTGTGCGACGATTGCTTGACGTCGTCCAAAGCAGAGACTTCCCTAGTCTGGAAACAGCGATTGGTGCAAAAAGCACGGCCTTGGCTCAGCTACGGCAGTTGTTTGAATACGCCCGGGCATACAATTTCGAGGAATGGTTGGTCTTGGATGCGTCTGTAGTCAGGGGGCTTGCGTATTACACAGGAATAGTCTTTGAAGCATTTGATAGGAAAGGAGAACTACGAGCAATATGTGGTGGAGGGCGGTATGACAAGCTTCTGGAGACCTTCGGAGGGGAGGCCTTGCCTGCTGTGGGCTTTGGGTTTGGCGACGCTGTAATTATGGAGCTCTTGGAGAGCAAAGGGCTAGTTCCGTCGCTATCATTGGGTTTGGACGCGCTTGTCTTTGCGATGGAAGCCGGCCTACAGGGTATCGCAATTAGAGCTGCGACTTCATTGCGCGCAGCGGGCCTCACAGTAGACTTACAGCTAGAAGCGCGGAAGACCAAATGGGCTTTGAAGCACGCAGACAGGCTTGGGGCGACGTACGTCGTCATTGTTGGACCCGAGGAGGTAGCTGGATGTAACGTTCGAGTGAAGGAAATGGCGACAGGTCAGCAGCATGTCGTGGCCATCGCGAACTTGGAGTCTTGGATAAGTGCGACTTTCACGACGACGTCGCCAGAGAGTGCGTTTGCGGATAGTGTCAACCGTTCATGACGAGTGCTGAGAACTACCTAGAGGCATGAATGCTAAAGATAAATAATCCATGATTGTCTCACCGGTTTAATCGTCGTTTTTAAGGATGCGATGTTACATTCCAATATGTGGGCCAGTTCCGTGACGCGGTGGATTTTTAAATTCAAATATCCGCCTTCTTAAACTTGCCGTTCAATAAGGTCCGGCTAGCGCATCGTTCACGCAGCTCAGATGCCATGCCATCATACGCGTCCAATCAGAGCTTCATGTTACAGAACCCTCTGCGCATATTATGTCGCAGATTTGATAGCTAAAATTTTATGCATTGTTAAAGTTTGCCTCTTGGCTTTGCCAAATTGACGCGTTTAAACTTCATGTATCTCTCATCCAACGGAAAAACGTCTTCTCGCCCATGCCACGCCATCCAACGTAAAAACATCTTCTCCCGTAGGCGCAGGGTTTGCCTTCTACGCTTTTTTCTCCGACCACGCCGCGACAAATACTTACAATTATAAGATTACTATGTCAGTCTATTTTACAATATGAATAGTGGTGCACAATGATTCCCTAAAATTTGCTTCGAACGGAAGGACCGATGATACGCCGCGGCGTATTTACGCCTCTACATCGCACAATGTCCGTTGAGTACTCCGAGGCATCGTAGGGCCTGTAAGCGCTAAAGCCTTGCTTTAAGCACCAAAGCAAATGCAAATAATTTAACCAATCCTTTACCTTTATTTGCCATTCTAAGGAAAGAAATACGGCCACGCAATAGCTTTGCCATCTCTGTTCCCGAAGCGTTAGCATGCTTAACATGGGCCGGAAGGGGTTTTGCGGTGATCTTAGACACTTCTTCCTTCTCATCGCTGTGGCGGGCTTCCTTGTACAAAACACACTCTGTGCGTACAGCGAGAATGCCGAGTCCGATGTTGATCAGACATATTTTGCCATGTCGATACCATAT